GGTAGGTGAGTGTGGCTTTGCTGAGATAGGAAAGGTCGGGGGTGAGACCCAAGTGTCAGGCCTGCTTCAAGCCTTTTGTTGGGCAAGATACTCCCCTTGTGCCTCTTTATGTGCTCTGGGCCTTGTGGCTTTATTCTCTCCCTCTGTACAATAAAAAAGGTGAGTTTATAGCAGGGTTATCTATCTTACATGCTTACAGTGGGCCAGGCAACAAGGAAATTAATGGAGTGAGGACTTTGGCCAATGTGAGGGGGCAAGTCTCAAGAAGGCAGTTTCTCATTGTTGCATACCTGGTTTAAGATAAATCAGAAGTCAAGATCTATGCCAAAATCCTAATTCTTACATGTTAGCAACTAATATTCTAATTGAACTAAAGCACAGCTGTGGTGGCCCTCAGGATGCCAATTTACAGCTCTTAGGCCAAAGAATCACTGATATCTCCACCAGAAAAAAGGAAAGCACCAGAACCCATTTAATGCTTTGTCTACTATCCAGTCCCAGACAGAAATTCAAAAGTCCCAGCAAGCCCTTTGGATGGGGCTTCGGTTGGGATATGAGGCCTGGGTGGGGAAGCTTACCCTCTGTTTCTCCAAATGCCAGGTATATGAAGACCTGAGGTATAAGCTCTCTCTAGAGTTTCCCAGTGGTTACCCTTACAACGCACCCACGGTGAAGTTCCTCACGCCCTGCTACCACCCCAATGTGGACACCCAGGGTAACATCTGCCTGGACATCCTGAAGGACAAGTGGTCTGCCCTATATGATGTCAGGACCATCCTGCTTTCCATTCAGAGCCTGCTAGGAGGTGACTTGGGAGACCAGCCCTCTCGTGCAACCTGGGAACATGTCAGGATACCTCTGGGGTCAGCGTCTTCTACCCCCTTGACCATTCATTCATTCCATCTCTTTCTCTCCACCCACAGAACCCAACATTGATAGTCCTTTGAACACACATGCTGCCGAGCTCTGGAAAAACCCCACAGGTGGGTCCTTCATCCTTCTCTATGACAGAGTGATGGCTCCCCAAACATAAAAGGATCCCAGTGACTTGGGACTGGGTTGGGCCATCAGGGAATGGGGGTCCATCCACTTCTGCCTTTACCCTCGTGTTCCTGTTTGGAAAATTAACCCCTTCCATATTAATGCAGGTTGAGGGTTTTTTATTTATTTTGAAGGCAGAGTCTCACTTTGTTGCCCAGGCTAGAGTGAGTGCCATGGCGTCAGCCCAGCTCGCAGCAACCTCAAACTCCTGGGCTCAAGCAATCCTGCCTCAGCCTCCTGAGCAGCTGAGAAGACAGGCATGTGCCACCATGCCCAGCTAATTTTTTCTATATATATTAGTTGGCCCATTAATTTCTTTCTATTTATAGTAGAGACTGGGTCTCACTCTTGCTCAGGCTGGTTTCGAACTCCTGACCTTGAGCAATCCGCTCGCCTCGACCTCCCAGAGTGTTAGGATTACAGGCATGAGCCACGGTTGAGGGTTTAGTAGAATGCCTTGCCTGTGCCCTCCCCAGTCTCAGCAGAAGGAAGCCCTTCCAGGAGAGCTGACTGAGTGGCTGGCAGCACAGGGAGAGTCCACCGTGCTACAATGCCAGCCCTCCCCAACCTCCTTGCATCCCTGGCCAAGTTGCCCACTTGCCCAACTTAATTAACCCCTCCTATCTCCAGCACTTACCAAGACACGCCTGTTCTCTTTCAGCTTTTAAGAAGTACCTGCAGGAAACCTACTCAAAGCAGGTGTCCAGCCAGGAGCCCTGACCAGGGCTATCCGGACTCTCCCTGTGTCTTTTTTTTTCCTTAGATGGTCTGTCCTTTCTAAGATTTCTGTATAGGACTCTGTATCTTGAGCTGTGTTGTTATTGTTTTGTTTCTGTTTTTTAAATTAAGTCTCTGGTTGAGCCCTTGTGATGTATATTAAATAAATACATTTTGGTTGTTTTTTATACAAGTTGCTGCCTTGCAGTTACCCTAGGGTTGGAGGTGCTTGGGATGGGCCGAGGTCAGGTTTAAGGTCTGGGATCTTGGCCTGCTCCTCTCTATAGACGTTGGCACAGCTGATAGGCTGTACAGCGCAATAATGGAGTGACTAGGACTTGTGACCTTGGTTAATTTATGACTCTGCATCTGTTAATCTATGAGTGTCATAATGCCTATTTCCATGGAGCTGTGACATGCACCAGGAATATTAGTGAATATTGGAGCTGCCCCAGCCAGGTTGTACATGAGGCTGAACCAGACCTTAGGCTGAAATCCCTATAGCTGTAGAAAGAACAAGTGTATGTATGTGTTCAAGAGGACCGGCCACTCACTCTCTGACAGATGCTCTGGCCTTGAAAAAGGGAAGGCCAAGGTCACCCACCCTACAGCTGGCCTAGGGTCTGGGGAAACAGCCAGGGAACAAACCCCTTCCCTGGCAGGACTCTCAGGGCTGAGCTTACACTCTGGGTCCTGGCCCCAGGTCCCCCATGGATGGATCCACACCCCAAGAGGGCGTGTTCACTGCCTGCTTCATACCCACCAGCAGGTCCTCAGCTGCTGCACCCGCTGGCACAGACCCCCAACCCCTTGGGCCACCTTCCTGCTGGTTTGCTGCAGGTTCTGGCCTTTGAGTTCCCAGGGAGTAACACCCATGCTAATCAGCTGGGCCTCCCACGGGAAAGAGCAGGCTGAGTTAATAGCCTGGCCCAAGACCTGCAGGAAGATCTCCAAGGTAGATAAACAGCACCCAGTTGCCCTCCAACCTCTGCACCCAAACCCTTCTGCTCTGCCAGCAGCTGGTTGTGCAGGGCTGAGGGGAAGGGGAGGAGACAGCAGGAGGGTTCTAAACCACCCCTTCCTCATTCCTGCTAACATAGGCCCCTCTCCTCTGCCCTGTGCCCCAGCCAAGCAGCCACCTATAAAAAGAGTTGGGAGTTGTCAGGTCTGAAACTGAAAGTTGGGTGCCCTCATGCCTAAAACTGCTCTTAGCTCTCTTCTCTTGGGGCTTGGAGCAGTGCTTCTCAATCTAATGTGCATACAAATCCATATGGAATTGTGTTATAAAATGCAAATTTTAATTCAGTAGGTCTGGTGGGGACTGGTTCGCTTTCTAATGAGTTTCCAGGTGATGTCATTGCCATACTCTGGTTAAGAAACACAGATTTAGAGCAGTGTTCTCAAAGTGTGATCGTTCCAGCAGTAGCAGCATCACCTAGAACTTGTTAGGCAAATTCTTGGCCCCAACAAGCTCTCCAGGTTCTGCTACTCTCAAATTTGTAAATCAGGTTAGAAGATGCCTGAGAAAGGCAGGGTTCAGATTCTGATGCAAAAGTGGTTCTTTTGTATTTTTTATTTTATTTTTTGAGACAGAGTCTTACTGTTGCCCAGGCTAGAGTGCCGTGGCATCAGCCTAGCTCACAGCAACCTCAAACTCCTGGGCTCAAGCAATCCTGCCTCGGCCTTCAGAGTAGTTGGGACTCCAGGCATGTGCCACCATGCCCAGCTAATTTTTTCTATATATTTTTCATTGGCCAATTAGTTTTAGTAGAGACAGTGTCTCATTCTTGCTCAAGCTGGTCTCAAACTCCTGAGCTCAAATGATCCACCTGCGTCGGCCTCCTAGAGTGCTAGGATTATAGGCATGAGCCACCTCGCCCGGCCAAAAGTGGTTCTTAGTAAATGCTAACTGTGGTGGACGTATTCTCTGCCTTGGGAAGCCTCCCCACGTCCTTGGTGGTGCTTGGTCCCCTAGATGGTCCTATGTCCTACCTTGTGTCAGTTGTAGGGACCCAACTCTAAACTCTAGAACCAGTTTTCTCTGGAATTAATAACAGAGTAAAATTACTTTACTAATGGGGTTGCTAAAAGAGAGAGTCAGTCTAGGCTACTGGTGGAGACAGCAAGACGAAAGTAGGCCAAGCAGAGACAAATAGCTGGGAACTGGAGAGGGATGACATTGAGACTCTAAAGCTAAACTACCACAAAACTTTGACACCTGTTGTATACAAAGGACTATAGGAGATAGAGCTGCAGCCAGTGAGGGCAGGGATGAAGGAAGAGATGGTGTCTGAGATGGATCTCGTAGGTTGAAGAATTTGCCAGGCTTATAGGAAGGCATTCCAGGGAGGGCAAACAGCATGTACAAAGGCCCAAGGGCTTGAAAATGTGCTCCACGTCCACATCATGAATAAATCGCCCAGTGTGGCTGGAGCCCCGCCAGGGACATGGGAAGGAAGGGAGTGGAAGGAATTTGGATTTGATTCCAGAAGCAAGGGGGAGCCTCATTGAAGGACTTTTGAAGGAAGATTAGCCAGGACAGATTTTCTCTCAACTAGATCATGATGAGGGCCCTCTGGCGAGCACACCAGAGAGGGCTGAAGGCAGGGACACCAGGCGGAGGCAGGGATCCGGGCGACAATGTGGTCAAAACCTCCTTCGTGGCTGTGCCTCCACCCTCCCTACCATGGCCAGTACGGAGCGCCTAGTGCGCGCTGGGAAGAACAAAGTGGAAGGTCAGCAGAGACATGCTGCCTGGCGTGGACGGACACCCACTCCCCCTCTCCCTAGCCCAGTAGCCTGCAGAAGGTGGCGACTACGGCCCCCAAGACCCAAAGTTTCCAGAAAAGAAGGATGGTGGGGAAGTGAGGGAGCTTCACCCTTCTGCCCTGGGAGTCTAGCTTCCTGCCGTCCTGGGTCCCCTCCAGGGGTCGCAGGGTCACAGTGATTCAGCTCGAAGCCCCGGCAGCCCTCGCCTCCAGCGGCCCGCGCCACCGCCACGTGTCCACGGAGCTGCCCGCCAGCTGCCGGTCGTGGGCCGTGAACCTGCACTCGGGGGCCGCCGCCTCGGGCTCCCGCGGCCCGCCGCCTTCCGCATCCCGCTGCTCGGGCGCCTCTCCCCGGAACCCCCACCCCGAGGGAGCCCCGAGTGGCGCCCGCCAGGGGGTCGCCCTGGACCGCGGCCCAGCCAGGCAGCCCCGAGACCCGCTGCCCCCGGTCCTCCCCTCACTCAGGCCAAGAGCTTTGCAAGGTTTACTTTTATTCCTTCCAGACACAGACCCAGAAGGGACCGCGCCTCCCTGGTGAGGCGGGAACCGACCCCGGGGCGGAGCCGCCGGCGCTCGAGGGGCGCGCGATCTGGGCGGAGGCCACGGCGCGCTCCTTACTGCACACCCTCCATCATCTTCAGGAACTCTGCGGGGAAGCGCAGGGCCGGCGAGTCAGCGGCCCACTCGGGACGCGGAGGCCCGGCCAGGGCTCCGGCCTAGCCAGGGGGTGCCCGCTCATTAACCGAGAAGTTGCACCCGCCGCCCCGAGCCCCCTACCCGCCCGTAGGGGGCGGCGGAGGAACTCGGTCAGGTCACGCCAGCCCCGCCCCCAAGGCCAAGGACCCTGCGGAGCCTGCCGCGCCCGGCGCGCCCGCGGGGAGGCAGCCCCCTCGCCCCAGCCCCCGCGGCCTCACCGTCGAAGTCGATGCGGCCGTCGTTGTTCTTGTCCCCGTCTTTCATCAGAGACTCGATCTCCTCTTCCGTCACGTGCTCCCCAGAGGCCCTGAAAATCTCAGCCAGCTCCTCGGCGTCGATGTAGCCGTCTGCGTTCCTTCGGGACAGGGAGGGCTCAGGGTCCCGGCGGGCTGCCCGGCCGCGCCCCCGACCCTCCCGCGCCCGGCCCAGGCCCCCGGCCCCGCCCGCCTGCCCCGCACCGCGCAGCCCTCCTCGGCCCGCAGCCCCGACGCACTTGTCGAAGATGCGGAAACACTCGGCCAGCTCCTCCTCGCTCTTCCCCTTCGCGTCCTCTTTCATCTGGCGCACCATCATGACCAAGAACTCCTCGAAGTCGATGGTGCCGCTGCCTGGGGGCGCAGGCGGGGGACTGAGCCCGAGCCCAGACCGCGCCTCGCCCCACCCCTCCCTGCCTCGGAGGGCCCGCTCACCGTCCTCATCCACCTCCTCGATGATGGCGTCCAGCTCCTCCTTGGTGGGCGTCTGGCCCAGCATCCTCATCACGGTGCCCAACTCCTTGACGCTGATGTCGCCACCACCGTCAGCGTCAAACATGTCGAAGGCGGCCTTGAACTCTGCGAGGGGCGGGGGAAGAGCAGAGGGCTGAGGTGAGAGCCACTGACCAGCCAGCCTCACACCTACCCCCCCTCCCTGCCCACACCCCAACTCCCGCCGGCTGCCCTCACGCACCGGCGATCATCTCCTCGCTGAGGTAGGACCGGGCCTCGACCTGCTGGTCCGTCTGTGTCGGCTGCAGGAGACACACAGAGTCAGAGCTAAAGGGGCAGCCCCGGAGCAGATGATGCCCCCGTCTTTCCACTTGTCAATTAGGGGGCAAGTCAGGAACCCCCCAGTGACACGGGGCAAGTCACTTAGCGTGCTCGCATCTCTTCTCGGCAGCTTTGCAGGGACAAGATGGGGTCGGGGTGTGAAAGGGCCATTCCAGCACGACTTTCCGGTCTTCCCTTGCTCCTGGTGGTGCCTGATACTTTAATAGTTGCCCCGTAAATGGTTGTTTTCAAGTAAATAATAATGCAACACAAAGTTACTGAGCACCTGCTAAGTGTCGGGCCATGGACCAGGCACTGGGACCACCAAGAAGAGACGGACTTATCATCCCTTGACACAGAGAATTTGCATAGATGGAGATTTTAAGCTTTTTTCTTATGATTCAGTCATTGGAGTAAAGACCTCACGCCAGGTAGAATGTGATAGAGGCCTTGGCGTGAAAATAAGATTTCGGGGACGGTTTCCAGGTCACATCCCAGCCTGGCCATCTGGGGCTTTGAACGGAGGCTGTGGTGAGGAAGGGGTGAGGCTTCCAAGGAGTTCTTCAGCCCCTGGCCGCCAGCCCTTCTCCTTCTCCCCCTTCCTCCGCCCCTCCCCTTTCTGCTGGCTATTTTTAGTCAGGCATGGACAACAGCAGCTGCCTCCGGGGTCTAGTTACTCCTTGAAGTAAAGTAAGGAGGGGGAATCTCAAAGGAAAATGACAGCGGCACATCAGAACCCTCTCTGGGAGGCTGGGGTCTCTAACTCTGGTGTGTCCTCTTCTGCCCATTCCCTGTCACCCTCAGGCTCTTGCAGCCCTGCATGCGGGCTGGCTCCAGGGCCGGTGGGCCTCCCACCTTCTGAAGGAGCCTTTCCTCTCTCAGTGACAGCAGGAAGGTTTGGCTGGGCTTCTAGCCCACCCCTGCCACTGGCCTGCAGTGGGGTGACTGACCCCAGGCCTCAGGGGCCCCATTTCTACTACAAAGGAGACCAGCTAAGAGCCCCTCACAGCTCTATGAATGAGGTTCCTGGAAGTCTCCGAAGGTGGGCAGGGAATCTGCAAGCCTTGAGGTTCGATCCCTGGAACACCCAGCCCTCCCCTTGCAAAAGAATTCGAAGGCCTTCTTCCTAGGCCTCCTCCAAGACACCTGGGTTCCAGGAACCTTCATATTCCAACTTCAAACACCCAAGCTACTGCCCTACAGAGCACCCAAGTCTGGCTTGAAAGAAGCCCAGAATGCTACAGCGAGTGAAGGAGCCAAGTCCTTCCTTGTCCTTACCATGGTTGCTGGTCACGGGGACTCCTCTGCTATGGGTCACCTCCTCTGCACTCCAGCACCCAAAGATGCCCTGGCCCACCCCAGCCCCCCAGGATTTATAGGGGCACCCTCTCCTCCCACCTCCCTGCTCCCCAGCACTGGATACCCTGCCCAATCAGATCCTGGGGTCAGCGAGCCCCACCCCTCCCAGAGTCCTAGCCCATTACCTAATTTAGCCAAGGGCCCTTGCAGAGAAATTTAAGCCTCTGAGCAGGTGGCAGGACCTGACGTCCTAGATTTTTGTGAGGAGGGCCTTCCCTGCTCCACTCCCTTAGAGCGCCACCCCCCCCCCCAGGAAGCACTCTGGCTCCAAGATGGGTAAGGACGATCAGAATAGCAGCATGGTGGAATGGGAAGAGCACAGCCCTAAAGTCTGAAACCCAGGATCCGGGGCCTGCCTCAGCACGCTATGTGGCTTTGGGCAGGTGGCAATGCTGCTCAGAGCCTAGCTTCCTCACGTGCGAGATGGACCTCTCTGTGGGGTCTCCTTCACAGACAGACCATAGAAATAGGAGCCCAGTATAAGTCACCTGGCTTGTGCCAGGTACATGGCATTGGTGCTTGGTACATAGAATGTCCTGTCTTTGAACCATGATAAGTGGCAAAGGACAGAAGTGGCAGGAAGTGATAGCTAGACCACCGCTTATTGAACCTCTATGATGTGCCACATACTGCTAAACATTTTAACCACATGTTCTCACCTAATACTCATGCTATGAGATAGCAACTCATAATGGCAGATTATTACTGCCATTGGACTGGATAGCTTTGTAAATCACAAAGGCCTAAAGTCGTGTTGGCGATTCTTCCTATGAATCTCGATGGGGGAAAGTGGGGACAGAGTCCCTGGGGGACCTGTCCAGAAGGAGAAGCGTATGGATGGGGGACGGGTGTGCATTTGAAGGAGAGATAGTCAATGAAAGCATTTCCCAAAGTTACCTTCTCCAGGGAAAGGGTGTTTGGGATTCATTTTTCGGGGGATGGGGACTGGGCAGGGAAGTTTCTTTAAGTGGTTTAGGGGCAACAGGCCCCTGCCGAGACAGAGCTCAGTGAGGAAATCTGGAGGGGCTCAGCTGGTCATCTGGAGGGTAAAGGTGGGGCAGACCAAGTCCAAAGCAAGGGAACCCAGAGCCCACCCTGAGAATCCAGAAGGTTCAGGCTGGGCTCTGGGGAGTAGGCAAGGCTCATGGACAGTGACTAAGTGACAGAGCACCGAGACAACTGAGAACAGGATCTGGGGCCAGGAAAGGGGGGCTGGACACCAAGGAAGGCAGATGGACAGTGGCAACTGGGCTGCCCCCTTCCCCTATATATAGACATTCCCAAGGAAAGCTCGGCAGGGCCAGGCCAGGCTAAGGAAAGCTCGGCAGGGCCTACCCAGCCAGGTGGAGGGCCAAGGGGCGATAGCCAGAGGTTTCCAATTTGGGCACAAACACTAAAACCACTTGGTCCCTTTGGAACAGGGGATGTGGAACCCTCAGCCATCCCTTGTTCATTAATTTGTTTTGTTTATTTTTTTTTCCTTTCTTTTTTTAAGCTTCTACTCAGCAGCATAATTTTGTTTATTTAGGAAAATAGACAAGGTCCAAACGCCTTAGTGTGGCCAAGCAAGGTCCCAGCAGCCCCTTTAATCTCACTCCCCTCCCCACCTTGTATGCTGCCCTGCTCTGGTCAGACGTAAATACTGCCCCAAACACCACCCTTTGTAAATATCCAGGCTTTTGCACATGCTCTTTTTATGCCAGAAACTCCCATCTTCCCTTTCTTCACCTTCCTACTTCCCTATCATCTTTCTCAGCTTTAACATCACTTCTTCCAGGATCCCTCCGCCCCTCCTCCCAGGCCAGGCGTGTGCAGAGTGGTCTCCAGTCATAGCACTGAGCTTGCCTTACTTATGATCACAACCTGTTCTGAGTTCCACCGACCAGAAACCTTTTCCTCTTTACCATTCCCAGCACCCAGCACTTGGCACTAAGCAGGTATTCAATAAATATTGTATTCTATGTAAGAATAACTGAACCGAATGGCATTTAGTTCAATATAAGAAGGAACTTCCTAGTAGTCACAGTTGAACAATAATGGGAACAGGTGGCCTCAGGTGGTAATGAGCTCCCTGTCACTGGGTATACACAAGCAGGAGACAGATGACCATCTTTCCAGTAGGCCATAGGGAAATATCCATACAGTGTTTAAGAAGGATGGAGAATACAGGACATCAAGAGATCTCCTAGTTCTGCCGCTGTTTGTGTCATCCAGCATAAGCCCCTTCTCCTCTCTAAGCCTCAGGCTACCTATCTGTAAAATGGAAGTGATAATCAGATTTCTGAGGGACCCTCCTGCTCTGACAATACATGCTTTTTGGTTTTTTGGGGGTTTTTTTGAGACACTCTCACTCTGTTGCCCTAGCTACAGTGCTGTATTGTCAGCCTAGCTCACAACAACCTCAAACTCCTGGGCTCAAGCTATCCTCCTGCGTAGCTGGGACTACAGGTATGTGTCACCATGCCGGGCTAATTTTTTCTATTTTTGCTAGAGACGGGGTCTCGCTCTTGCTCAGGCTGGTCTCAAACTCCCGAGCTCAAATGATCCGCCTGCCTCAGCCTCCCAGAGTGCTAGGATTACAGGTGTGAGCCACCGCACCTGGCCCAATCCATAGTTATATAAAGACCAGTTTTGCATCCACACTTGCAAGGTGTATACCAAAGGACAAGTCAAATTCAGCCAGTGATTGGTGAATGAGTGAGTGGTGAAGGAATGAATGGTGTCTTTTTTGCCCCAACACCCTGCCTGTGAGCCAAATGAAGTAATTACAGCTTGGAAATTACACAGATTTGGGCTTCAATCCCAGCTCCCCTATTTCTGGGATATGGATCTTGAGGAAGTCAGTTTGACTCAGTTTCTTCATCTTGAAAATGGACCATTATCGCCCAGTACCTGTCTCTTCCCCAGGATGTTGTGAGGGTAAGATGTGACAATATGCAAAATGCCTATAACAGGACATAGGACACACTGGAACCTCAAAAACTGAGAGGCCCAGCCCTTCCGCTCATAGAGAGGGCAGGGAGCAGAAATACCTTCTGTTCATGCAAAACTATGTCCCTCGCCCCTCTCCTGTACCACTCGAAAAGGGTAGGAGCTACTAGCAGAAAGATTTTGATTTTGGGCTGGGTGCGGTGGCTCACGCTGTAATCCTAGCTCTCTGGGAGGCTGAGGCGAGCGGATTGCTCAAGGTCAGGAGTTCTAAACTAGCCTGAGCAAGAGCAAGACCCCCGTCTCTACTATAAATAGAAAGAAATTAATGGGCCAACTAATATATATAGAAAAAATTAGTCGGGCATGGTGGCGCATGCCTGTAGTCCCAGCTACTTGGGAGGCTGAGGCAGCAGGATTGCTTGAGCCCAGGAGTTTGAGGTTGCCGTGAGCTAGGCTGATGCCACGGCACTCTAGCCTGGACGACAAAGCAAGACTCTCTGTCTCAAAAAAAAAAAAAAAAAAAAGATTTTGATTTTGTTTTATCGTACAACTATCAGAATCTGCCCCACTAAGGACTGATATCCAGGCCTTCTGACAGGAAACCACAATAAATTCTTCTTGACCTACTGCTGCTCTCAGGGAAAAGATGAAACACAGAGCTCCAGAGAGCTGCTGAAATGACCGGGCCTGCCGCGTGGGAAAGGAACAGTATGCAGAATCCAGGGCACCTGGGCTCCAAGGCGCCATACTCAGAACCTTTGGCAAGCTGTGTGACTTTGGCCAAGTAAGTCAGCCTCTCTGGGTCTCAGTTTCCCCGTTTGCCTGCTTCCCATGAGTGAGGCTCAAATGAGATTGTGAAAACCTGTGCACACTGTAGAAACAACAATCATTATGTAACTGATTATTTCGTCAGCCCCTGTTCTATGCCAGGCACTGGACTAGGTTTTTGTTTGAGACAGTGTCTGGCTCTGTCGCCCTGGCTAAAGTGCCATCCCACCAGCCCCGCTCACAGCAAGCTCAAACTCCTAGGTTCAAGTGATCCTCTCTCCTCAGCCTCCTGAGTAGCTGGGAGTACAGGCACGCCACCCCGAGTGCTAATTTTTTCTATTTTTAGTAGAGACGGGATTTCACTCTTGCAATGGTTGGTCTCGAACTTCTGACCTCAAGCGATCCTCCCACCTCGGCCTCCGAAAGTGCTAGGATGGCAGGCGTGAGCCACGGTGCCCGGCCCAGCCTGGGTTCTTACAAGAGTGGCAAAATTAGTTTTAGTATTATGGCTCCTGTTTTACAGATGACAAAACCTAGGCTTAGCGAGGTCAGATTCCAACCCAAATCACACATCTTCTCTTGGCCTCAGTTTTCTTTCTCACCGGAGAAAAGGGCTCCCTGATGTCACATAATCACTTTGTAAAGTTGAAGAGCGCCGGGTGGAATTAGGGGGGTAGGCTGGGCCGACCTGGGTCCCCAGGCGGGGGGAGGAGTCGAGGGGGCACGCGGGCGGGATCGTGCGGATTCCGCGGGAGGCCCGGGGCTGCCTCCGGCGGAGCCAGGATTCCCGAGTCCCTCCTGCCGCGAAGGGCCGGGATTCTCGGCGCTGGGGAGCGGGCGGGGCAGGAGGCGGGGCGGCGGCAGGAAGAGGCCTGAGCGGCGCTCCCAGCCGCCTGGGCTCCGCGGAGCCGGGCAGAGCCCCGCCGGCCTCGGTGAGCCGCGGGGCCGCGCTGGGACCCCAGGGGGGCGGCGCGCCCGAATGCCCCCGGGACGCGGGAGGTGGAGGCGCGCAGCGGGAGAAAGCGGCGTGGGAGGGTCCCAGGCTTCTCCTGGGAAGAAGGCGGCCCTAGGCTGTGTGCGCGCGGGGGACGGGGGCCCGCGACGCGGGCTGAGTCCCAGGCCGGGTCCCCGGCTCGCAGGACCCCTAGGAGGCTGAGGTGGAGCCTCCGCCCCGCCCCTCCCCTCCCCTCCTCTCCTCTCCCCTCCCCTCCCCTCCCCTCCGCCTCCAGCGCGGGGCGGGGGTCCTGCTCCGCCCGAGCCCCGGCCTCAGCGTCCGCGCTCCCCCCAGGGTGCCATGGCCTCCAGGCTCCTGCACCGGCTGCGGCACGCCTTGGCAGGCGACGGCCCCGGGGAGGCGACAGTGGGGCCCGAGGCTGAGCAGTTCCCGGAGAGCTCAGAGCTGGAGGACGACGACGCCGAGGGCCTGTCCTCCCGGCTCAGCGGCACCCTCAGCTTCACCAGCGCCGAGGACGAGGACGACGAAGACGAGGACGATGAGGAGGCTGGCCCCGACCCGCTGTCCCCCGGGGACGGGGCGTCTGGGGAAGACGCAGGCGAGTGCGGGAGGACGGAGGCGGGAACCCTGGGGCTCGAGTAGGCCTCCATCCCAGCCGCGGGGGCGAGAGCATCTTGGGCGCCCTGAGTTGATCTCTCCGAAACTCCCACACTTCTTAAAGAGTCCCCAGTCACCTCTTGGCTGTGTGACCTTGAGAGAGTCACAACTCTCTAAGCCAAGTTTCCCCTTGTGTCACATGGGAGAAATCACTCCCATCTCAGAGTTGTGGCAGGCATTAAATGTACAGGGCCTGGGGTACAAATGATAACGATGTGCTGGCGAAGTTTGGGGACGGAGATATTTATGTAGCCCCTGCTATCTTCCAGGCACGGTGTTTGGCACCCAGGCCCTCTCTGGCCCTCGGTTTCCATTTCTGTAAAATGAGGATAACACCCACCTCACGTTAGGAGGATGAGTGAGGTCATGACACATTGTGCATGTCGACCTGGCCCCAGGCCCCTAGATATGACTGGTCATGTGCTTGTGCAGAACGGAGCCCCCCACCTGATGGGCAGCGGGGCAGTCAGCTCCTGGCGCGACAGTTGCAGGATTTCTGGAAGAAGTCGCGGAACACCCTGGTACCCCAGCGGCTGCTTTTCGAGGTGACCAGCGCCAACGTTGTCAAGGACCCGCCCTCCAAGTACGTGGTGAGTGAAGGTCCAGGAACCCCTGGGCTAGAAGTGTGACTAAGAGAGTAGGGAATACTCCAGCTTCCTGAGGGATCTGACTGTAGTTATAAATGGCTGCCCCATTTTACAGATGGGGAAACTGAGGCCAGAAAGGGGAGGTAACTCTAGCAAGTCCTTAAGCAAATGGCTTAGTTTTCTTGAAACTGAGTAAAGTGGAAATTAAGGACCTGCCTTTTTATCCTGGTTTTGAGACTGAGAGAACTGGTACGCATTCTCCCTGACCCCACCCACAGGGTTTTTGCAAACTGTAGCAAGATGCAAGATACAAAGGGAAGTATATTATCTGGGTCAGACTTGACACAGAAGTTGCATGGGTTAGTGGTTAAGGAAATGGGCTTTGGATCCAGACCAACCTTGATTCACATCCCACATATTACAAGTTGTTGACTTTGGGTGAGATGTATAACCTTGATGACCCTCATGTCCTCATCTGAGCAGTGGATGCTCACAGGATAACACACAGGATTACAGCACGAGTTAAGTGAGACGGTGCGCAAAAAGCCCTTAGCACTGTGCCTTACATTAGGAGGTACTCAATAAAATGGTAGCTATATTTTTATTATTTAACTTTGGATTGAAAATGTCTGGCATCTAGGGCCTGCTGTAGCCTTCTTGTAACCCAGGTGAATCAATTCTCAAGCACTACCCTGCACAGAATAAGAATCTTGTCCTAAGGGCTAGACTTAGGGGGTTTGTGGGGATTGGGGTGAAGAGCAGGGTAGGAGACAGCCTTGGAGTCTTTGTTTTCCTTGCTGTGGGGAGGAGAGACCGACATAGAGAATGAGGACCATACCAGCTCCTGCACCCGGCCAGTCCTGAAACTCAGCTGAGCTGGCCACTCCTGGCAGTGGCAGCTCTGTGCCTTGTCACACTCTCCTCCTCTTTACACCCTCCTCCACCTCTGACTCAGCAGGAAGGGGGCCTGGAGCCCTGTCCCACATCTGGGTCTCTGCATCCCTCTTTATTGCTGTTAGTAAATGAGAGCCACACCCATGGGGTGATTGCTGTAATTTGAGCAGGGGTTGACTCCAGTGATTGAGGCTTAAGTAGCAAGGGTCCCAGAGCTCTAGGGGTGGACAAGGGGTCATATGCAGGAAGGGGACACCAAGGATCAGTCCCCAGGGAGCAGCTCAGAGGCAGGGAGGAATGAGGGTGACTCAGGGTACCCAGATGGGAAGAGAATAACAAGATAGAGCAGGATGGCCCTGGCTCATGTCTGGAGAAGCAAGTTACCTACTCTATACAATGGGAACCCTAAGTTTTCATATAACTTTTGGAAGTCAAGAGCACAGGCTGGAATCAGGTCCACCTGGGTTTGAATCCCGCCCGGGCCATTACCAGCTGTGTGACTTAGTCTTTCAGCCCTTTCACTTTGAGCCTGCTTCCTCAGCTGTCAACCAGAGATAAAGACATCTTCCATGAAGTGCTGCTGTGATGATTAAATGAAATCACAGGTGTAAAAGTGCTTGGTACAGCATGAAACACAGGGAGAGTGCTCAGTTAGTGGAACTACTGTCATTGCTACCCATCTGGTTGGATGTTATAAGGATCAGATGAGATAATGGATATAAAATAGAGTTTTTTAGCCAAAAATATTAATAATAAAAATAAAAGCTAAATGAACATAAGGGGTTATTTATAGACCAGTGAATCTTAAAGAAAATTGTGTCCTGAAGTGTGTCCTGTAGAAAATTCGTTCCCTAGAATGTTAATAACTGTTCCTAAATAAATAAACAAAAGGCTTTGTAGGCAATAGGGTTTGGGAATGCGGAGTTTAATGAGAGTAAAATAGGTTTCTTTACTGTTAAACTTTTTAATCCTTAATATTAATGTACCCGGTGAATCTTTAAGAGAAGGATGAGTAGACAAACCTAACTGACCAGAGGTGGCTAGGATACTGTCAGCTCCACAGAACAAACTTGAGAGAAAAATCTGTTTGCTGTTAGTATGCTTCTAGCATCTAATGCTTGCTAACTCCCCCTTTAAACCTGTTGGCTCAGCATTATCATAGATTAATCCATACTTAGGTTCTCAGACCTGGGCGTGGCAGGGGGAGCTTAGTAGTCACCTTGTTCAGTATTTCCCAAACCTCAGTCATTCCAGTACCACCTTCATGATTCTTGTCCTAAAATTCTACTTGTACCATTCTTTGCTTACCTTTTTTTCTTAAATAAGTTTAAAAGCCAACTTTATAGCACTACTGTATGTGGAAGACCTCACTTGCCATAGAGAGTAGCTAGCCATAAAAATCAACACAGAGAAAATGAAACTGTCATTAAATCCTGCCTAGATGCTGCTGCCTGGATAAGGCCCTGACCTGAGATTTGCTTTCTGGCTCTTTTCTAAAAATGGATGCGAGAAGTGTTAGAGAAGTGCTTTTTTAAAACCAAACTGAGAGCTTCTCAATTTGTAGTCAGAAAGATTAAAGAAGAATTAAGGGGGAATGGCCTCCCGTCTCTGATGCAGTGTTATTTACTCTAGTGTGCACCACCTGGAAACCCCAGGGACCAACACTTTTGCATGTCCCATTCTTGAGTAAATGCTGACCTGACCCAGCATGTCATTCACTAGAGATGGAAGTGGCCCCAGAGGGGAGTGCCTTGCCTGAGGTCAGACATCGAGGGAGTAGTGACCTGGGGTTAGAGCCTGAGTCCTACTTGTCACAGTGAGTCCTGAGTATACTTGTCACAGTGATCACAGTTGGGGCTGTCTGAAGACCTGTTCTCCCGGTCTGTTTTGGAGTAACCTGGCCAGGGATGTAGGGGCTAGGTGTCCAGAGTGGAACACAGCTCCGACCTGGTCCTAAATGTTGGCTCGGAGGCCTGGAGACTGGCCAGGGTTTCATACCTGGTTTTCCAGAGGGGCTTTCAGAAGAACTGACTGCCCTACTGGAAGGGGGCATCCCGGAGGGGTAAAAGGGCAGCAGCCCGGGCACTGAAGCTCATCTCTGTCTTTCTTTCCCTGTGCTGCCTTGGGCCTGGGTCATTTCAGACAAGCCTCAGGTAAGATGGGACTGGGCTCCCTACCTGCTGCCCCAGCAGCTCCTACCCTCCTGGGACCAGTCCCAGGGGTGACGGGAAGAGGTGGTAGGGGAGCAGAGTTGGGAGTGGGGGCGGGGTGGGGAGGGAAGGGGCCCATGGATACCTCGCACCTGCCCTGACACCCACCCTCCCTGCAGCTCTACACCCTCGCCGTGATGGGCCCTGGGCCACCAGATCACCAGCCAGCCCAGATCTCTCGCCGCTACTCGGACTTTGAACGGCTGCACCGTAACCTGCAGCGGCAGTTCCGGGGCCCCATGGCTGGCATCTCCTTCCCCCGTAAGCGCCTGCGCCGGAATTTTACTGCGGAGACCATTGCCCGCCGTAGCCGGGCCTTTGAGCAGTATTTGAGCCACCTACATGCAGTACCCGAGCTGCGCCATGCCTCAGACCTGCAGGACTTCTTTGTGCTGCCAGAGCTACGACGGGCACAGAGCCTCACCTGTACTGGCCTCTATCGAGAGGCACTGGCACTCTGGGCCAATGCCTGGCAGCTGCAGGCGCAGCTGGGCACCCCCTCTGGCCCAGACCGCCCCCTGCTGACCCTGGCTGGGCTGGCTGTGTGCCACCAAGAGCTGGAGGACCCTAGGGAGGCCCGGGCATGCTGTGAAAGGGCCCTGCAGCTGCTGGGGGACAAGAACTCCCACCCTTTGCTGGCACCCTTTCTGGAGGCCCATGTCCGGCTCTCCTGGCGCCTGGGTCTGGACAAACGCCAGTCAGAGGCCCAACTTCAGGCCCTGCAGGAGGCAGGTCTTACCCCCACACCACCCCCCAGTCTCAAAGAATTGCTCATCAAGGAGGTGCTGGATTAACCCTTGCCTTGACTTAAGACCACTATAGGGGTAGGGGCTGCCCCAGGATTGGGAGGAGAAGGCCCTGATGAAGACATGGAGAGCAGCTGGGAGGCTGCAGGGGGTGCTGGGAGCCCCTAGAAGTTCCACAAAGAGAACGTGCAGCAGACTAAGAAAACTTACTTCTGTTGAGCTAGGCTCAGGGCGAGCTATGGCCGGGGTTGGGAAGAAGTCTGACACAACCTCTCTAGCTGATAAACGGCACAGGGCCATGGCATAGGTCAGGGTCAGTGTTACCTTGTCCATGAGCCTCCAAGCCAGCGAGGCAGCCTGGCTGCCGGGCCGGGGACTCTTCCCCTGGAGTCCTGCAGTTGAGGAAGGAAAGGAGGGCTGCAGTTCTAGCCCAGGGGAATTAAAGGCCAGCCACTCCAGTGGTATCAGTCTCTTTATTGGATTCGAGGGCCAGAAGGCCTGTCACTCCTGCCTTAGGAGTGGTGGTGGAAGGTCCTTGAAGCTCCAGGCCAAGTGGTGCCTCTGGTTATAACTTGCTCTTTGAGACCCGGGGCTTTACTCGGATCACGCCCTCCTGGGCACAGGACACAGCCAAGACTCCGTCCCGACGCCACAGCCGTCCATGGACCAGTCCCCGAGAACCACCTGTGGGTGAGAAGGGTCAGAATGGCCTTCTGCTTCAGCACAGCCAGAGGCGCTTCTTGAAAAGGGTTTGGCCCAGGGCAGGGCTGCCCCACACAAGGGTACACTGAGTGTTGTGGCTGCTCCAAATCCCCAAGGAACCCCTTTCTGAGCCTGTTACAGACAGTTGTTGGGGATAACTCCTCCTACAGGAACACAACTTGACAGTTTAAAAGCACTTTCATATATCTGCTGGCTTCCTCAAAAAGATCACAGGAGGAGGAGCTCTGCAAACAGTCTCTTTCAATAGCTTGGCTAAGAAGATCTGCACCTCTGGCCACTTGTGTTAGGAAACCCATCAGTTCCTTTTATAATAAATCAAGCTCGGTCCTCCAAGTGGTAATTCATCAAAAAAAAAAAAAAAAACCACCATTGCCACTACCAAGGGGAAGAAGGGGGCCAGGGGAGAGGACCTGAGGCCGTGAGGTTTGGCCTCTCCACCCTTCCCACCTGGAGATCCTTTCTCCCTTGCTGGCTTTGGGCCTGAGTCTGATGTTTATAAAGAGAACTGCCAATTTCCCTTACACATTACCAGAGCTCATTTAGTTCTCACAGTAGCCAAATGAAGTAGGCATTTGTCCCAGTTTCTAGACAATGACAGTCTAGAGAGGCTCAGGAACTTGGCCCCTGGATCAGGCTAAACCTAAACCCAAGTGTCCTGACTTCAAGGTTGTTCATCTTTTATTATGATGCTATTAGTACTTGAGAGTAGCCCTTATTTGAGTATTAAGAGTCCTTAAGTTTTGTCCCTGTTTTATAAAGCAAGGCCTTGCTTCATTTGAAATGTACTTCCTTGGAAAGGAAGCCAGAGTTCTGGAGCTAGACACAAGGCACTGAGGATTGAGTCAGGGTTTTCTCTATCCCTTATGAGGAGAGTCCAAATAGGCTCTTAGATCCCCAACTAGGTTATCAGCAAAGTCATTTAGAGAACTGCTTAAAAATACAGTTTCCTGGACCTCATCCAAGACCTGCTGAGTCAGAATCTTGAGGGTGGAGTCAGAATCTACTTTGAAAAAGCTCTAAGTGGCAGTCTGATGGGCTGCCAGGTTTGGACACTACTGCTGTACTGTAACCCTATCTGTGTACATGGGGAAACAGCCTCAGATGGGGGAGACAGGATTTGTCCATGTTCATACAGAGAATCCAAAGTTGTTCTGGGACTAGAACGGGCTCTCTGAGATAAAGTGAATCATATGCCCAGCATGTTATAGAAATTTAGAGCTGAGCAGGTGTCCTGGCCTCCAGCCCTGAGCCTCACCCTGTCCTCTTGAAGATGAGGATGCCAGAGCCTGGGGGGCAGGAGAGGAAGTGGCCTGTGCAGTGCCTCACAGCGCAGGAGGCTGGGGGAGGCCACATTACCCAGGAAAGCAGGCCCCCTGTCACCCCCCTTGTCCCACACAACGCCATACTCACCAGCCCAGGGGCTCTCGCACTCATACAGCATCCAGTGGTCAGCTCGGAAGGGGGCGTGGAACCACATAGAGTGGTCCAGCGAGACCATGAAGTGCACCTTATACTGCCACAGGTCGGGTAGCAGTGCAGTCCCCAGGAAGGCATAGTCCGAGATATAGGCGGCCACACAGCAGTGCATCTTGATGTCGCCCTCCCCTGCAACAGGTCCCGGCCCCTGTCAGCCCTGGGCTCCTGGGCTTTCTAGCTCAGGACCCGCAGGGAGGTGGGGAGAAAGGGGGCTCCCGTGCATGGATGTGCAGACCAGTCACTGCACAAGGACACCTGGCCCAAGGTGTGAGTGAGGGGACAAGGGAGGTGAGGAGGGCAAAGGTGAGGGAGGACTGAAATCCAGCCTTCACGCCCAAGTCTCCCACACTGGGCCCCTGAAAGGGTTATCTTCCAATTTGCACAAAGGCACCTTAAGGTTAGCAGCAGAGCTGGATAAGAACCTCAGCGAGGTGCCTTGCCTTCCCCAGGAAGGTCCCACATTGGGATTATAGTTACCTACTCATTCCCCCCATGCAAAGGACTGAGAGGGCCCTGGTGAGAAGCTGAGCTAACTAACTTGCCCATCATGTAGATAAGGAAACAGGCCCAGAGAGGGGAAGTAATGTACCCAAGGCCACATGGCGAATAAGTGGCTGACCTAGACCTCTGGAGAGTGTTTTCCTCTATTCCATGGGGTCCTCTTACCAATATAGCCTCGGGCTCGCACCCAGAACATCTGTTTAGGCTCCATTCTCTGCAGCTGGCTCAAGGTGGGTGGGCTTACTGGCTTGATCTCAATAGGTACATCCCGGGCAGCAATTCCGTTCAGCACCACTGAGTGCTTCTCTTGGAGGTTAGGATCGCTGAAAGGAAAAGGGAGAGGGATGGGGAGACCCAAGGAGAGAGGAAGTCTTATCTGCACTGCCTCTTCTGACCCTCCTCATTCTTCCATAAGGACTCCTGAATTATCCCGAAAGCTCCCTTCCCCTCATGGCAGGCAGGACAGTATAGTGTCTGAATCCCTTCTTTGCCACCTATGGGCCATGTAGCCCTGTGCTAGTTTAGAATCTCTCTAAGCCTATTTTCCTATCTGCAAAGTGTAGATAATGGTTGTAACCTACCTCAAAACACTGGAGAAAACAGTTTGATGCTATAAAACCAATACATCATAGTAATAAGGCATACCCTATAGTATGCACTGTTCCAAGCATTGCATGTACAGTAACATTCCTCACAACAACCCTGTGAGATAGGTACTGTTATCAACCCTATCTGATACGTGGAATAAGCACAGAGAATCCAAATAGTTTGCTCAGAAATTGGATAAGGCAGGATTTGGACTCAGGCAATTGGCTCCACGGTTCATACTCTTAACCATACACTTCATTATTCTAAACAATCAAGAAACAAGCTGCCTGACTTGGACTGAGTTACCTAACCCTAAGCAGTAGGGAACATTGTGCCCGCCCCAAGGGGAGGAGCCCATTTCCAGGGAAGACCCTTCAACACGGTGACAACCACCCATAGTGCTCTTCACCGGTACTGTCATTTTTACCCCTATCCTCCGGGTGCTGTCCAGTAGAACCTTCTGTGATAATGGAATGTTATCTGCACTGTGCAATGGTAGCCACTAGCCACATGTGACCACTGAGTGCTTGAAATGTGGCTGATGCAACTGAGGAACAGAATTGTTAATTCTGTTTCATTTTAATTAATATAGCCACACGTGGCTAGTGAAGACCTTATTGAACAGCCCAGCTTTAAATTCAGGGTCCTTTAACAACACTGTCTTCCTTTCATTTCAGCAAACATTTGTTGGGTTGCAACTACATACCGGGCCCCATGCTTTTTCCTCTCTGTTAACAGTGATATAACTACAATTTACTGAGTACCTACTAAGTGCCTTCTCTTATACCATTTAATCCGCATAGCAGCCTTATGAGGTAAGAATTATGATTAGCACCAGTTTATAATAGGGTCTGGGCTCAGACTGGGAAAGCAACTTGCCCAAACTCACACAGCTAGTAAGGACACAGTCAAGATTTGAACCTAGGCCTTTCAAGTTCCCAAACCCACATTCATCCCATCACACCCTGCTGCCTCTGCAAAAGATAGAGAAGCTCTCTCCTTATGATACAGCTGAGAAGTAGGCAGGGCAGAAATGACCATTCCCATTTTTCAGATGAAAAAACTTGGGCCCCAACAGGCTAGGGAGTTGGGCCAAGTCACACAGCAGGTGAGCACTGGTAGAGACACAGCCCTGACCAGAATCCATGTGCCTGGACCCAGAGCTCTTTCCCCTGTACCAGCATGTTTCAAATTTTATTAGCTGTGATCCAATATAAGATGTTGGAGGCAAGGACCCCCAAAGACCCTCAACACCCCTATGACTTGTCCTACGCACGGGCTTCGCCCTGGAAAATTCCTAGGACAAAAACAGCACCCCACCCTCCAGCTATAGCTCCAAAAAGAATGTGCTCCATGACGTGCTGACCACAGAATGCTCCAGGGTGTGCTAACTGCAATTGTTCCCGACCACCTGCCAGGTTGGGGTTGAGCAACCAGACACAAACAACTTCAATACCAATAAGACGCTGATTGGGGCTGATTAGCCCAAACCCAAGACTCACCGTCACCCCACTGCATTTTTCTGTTTCTACTTCCTTGTTTCTGTATGCTTATAAAACCTACTAAAAATCCAAGTAAAGTAGACCTTGACAACCCTTTGCTTGGTCTCGTTCCTTTCTCTCGCCCATCTCTTTCAGGCATGGTCCCCCTTGACCCCCACGAGTAACAGAAGGTCCCGCGGGCCGGGACAATAAGAAATATATTTTATTTACTAGATGACATTCAAAATATTTAACATGCACTAAGTCACCAATCAAACATGGACCACAGCTCTGCAGCCTGCTGGACCATCACCCATGCAGTAACTCCTAAGCTGCTGGATTGTGGGCCTGAAGTAGGAGCAGGGATTCTTCTGGGAACTGGGGAGGTGGCTTTTTACCAAGTGGTTACAGAAGTAGTTCAATGTTTTCACAACCAGTAAAGCTGTACCAGCGCCAGTACTGCCTGCATCTAAGCCCTGCATTTCACACACACACATGCACACCTGCTCACGCACAGAACTGAAACTGAAGTTTCACAAAGGGATTCTTACCCTTATTGCATACAATACACTCTAGTATCTTCTTTTCTAGTCCATATTTTTAAAATGCTGGTCAAGACTCACTGAAGGATTCTATGACCCACAAGTAGATAGCAACCGCAGTTTGGAAACACCGCCCTGGAGCTGCCAAGTCTCTCACCTTAAATAATTGTCAATGAGGGCCTGGTAGTCAGGCAGCTCTTCCGGGGGTGGCACAGTGGGCATGGAGAACTGGTGCTGCACAGGGCTGGGCTGGGTGTGCTGGAAGGAGGCCTGGCAGATGAAGATGGGCTTGCCATGTTGCACGGCCTTCACAGAGCGCACCGAGAAGCTTGACCCTGTACGCGTCCGCTCTACCTGGTACAGCACTGGCACCTTCGGGTCCCCTGCAGTGGACACAAGGGACACGGCCTGAGTGAGCCCCATAGGCCCTGACATCATCCCAGTGCCTGCACACAGTGCTCCTTACCATTTCTGCTCAGTAGCTACTGACGGTGGCCCACGGAGCCCCAGGTACTAGGGATACCGAGAGAACACCAGGCCCTGTCCTCAGGCTGCTCCCAGTGGGGGTAGATCTTCTCTCTAATAGCACAGAACAGAATGCAGGGAATCTGGCAGTGTCCCTGCATTCAAATCCTGATGCTGCCACTCACCAGCTGTGTGACCCTGGGAAAGTCACTTAACTTCTCTGAACAGTGTACTCATTTGTAAAATGGGGATCATCAGCGTGCTCATACCATATAGGATTTTAGTGAGTTCCGTGAAGTGGGAAGTGAGGTCAGGGGAAAAAGAAGGATTTTAATGAGAATTAAATGAGTTCATATTGCAAAGTCTTTGTAATAATAACTGGCACATAGTGCTCTATAAGTGAATGTTAAATAAAATAAATGTTTAGCAAGCTTTGTCTTGCTACATGTGTGCCTGGGGTCTTGTCTC